AATGTAGGTCAGGCGAAAGTAAATTCTTTTCTTGCTTTGCATAGTTGTATTTATCTAGTGTTGGTATTGAAATGCAAAGACAAGAGAATATAAATCCCATGCTGTAGGACACACGGTATAAAAATTCGTTCGACGCTTCCTTCACTCACGTTTGGACTAGTATTCAGATTAGGGCAAACTGACTGGCCCTTAAACATTTAAATGAAGTTCTCATGCTTCTTCCAGACCTAAAATTAATAATTATTCTTGTTACGCAAAGAAAAAGAACCGACGGTTTAAATCACATGGAAAGTTGAAAAATTCAAACGTCTGAGATATATAAGAGAATAAATTATGTTATTTGTGTGAATTCGTAGAATTCGATGATCCTGTTCTTTCTTGCTACCGTGTGATAACTCGTGAGTTAATTTTCCACTTGTAAGTCACTCGAGAATGTTCATCAACAATGAAGGCTCTTTTCTTACGCTTTAATACCCTGTTTTGAAAACTTTTAATTACTATCGTATTGGCAAGCTACAGACAGCAGAAGTTTAATCTGTTATTCTCTTTATTTGTAAACGTCAAGCTGAAGTAAGAATAAATATTGAATTATTTTTATCCGCTTGTTACATCAGTTTGTATTCTAATACTCCATATTAAGAGGAAACAAAAGGTCGGCCTCCCCTCTAGTGAGGTTACTCAGTTTCGTTTTTAAGTATAATAATAGTGCAACCTTATCAGTTATGCTAAATAATGTACTTTTGGGAGCGCTCAAGAATTTTGGAGCACCGTACGTTTTAGTAAATGAAACAGTTTGCTTATCTATGTATTAATAAATCAATAGTTTAATACTGATAGATGAAACACAGCAAAGCCGGTGATAAAAGCATCGTTATAAGGCTGAAAGATTTCATCGAAACAGTAAGAAAAGTCCACGACGATTTCCATTGCTTTCCAATGCAGATGGAAGTGTTCATATGACCTTGTTTAGAACTCAAAATAATTAGCTTCCAAGAAAGTTGAAGAATGCTGAAAGGAAATGAGAAGGGAAAAGAAAACCAAAACACAGCCTTAAAATAGGCACCGCATTTATTCAGTCAAAAGAAATTTGTTGTATTCTGAACTGAGGGTGCAATGACAAAAAATGCTGGCTAAATATCTATTATTTAACTTCAGGTGACATAAAATGCGGATCGTTATGACCCTTCTGCTTAATTTTAGCTTCCAAGAAGATTGAGTTTCAGCAGGATGCAAATCCCATTTAAATCAGGATGTCTTGGTAAACGCTTGGGGTAGCGGATTGCAACTGAATACGCCTGCTTTACACACATTGCTTACGGTGCCGGACGAAGATATTTTTGTGCCCCCGAGCAGAAGCCATTATGACATCCTTTAACGTGCCCGTTAATTGGCATTAAATTTTGCCTTCGGATAGAAAGAAATCTGTTTCTGAGAAAGATACTCGTATTTTGTCTTAGTTATGTACTAAAGACGGTTGTTATTACGGGATTTTGGCCGATCGATGGAACGTTATAGTGAAAGAAAGTTATGCAAGTCGATCTTAAAATATTAACAAAACTATAAGTGCAATGCTGACTTCCCACTATCTAAATAATCTTAAAGAAAACACTGCTAGTTCTTATGTATTTTAAAAACCTGAGTCCTACATATTGGTAGCGATTTTTCTCGGAAGTGCTGCTACATTTCTGGAACACTTATTTTATATTCTTAAAATATAGTGTCCCAACAACTTTTTTTTTAACATGGCTCAATGCGGCATATTCTTAGATGCAACTATGATATTAAACTTGTGAAGGTATTCTGTAGATAGTGAATAAAAACACTTAAAAGCTATTAGGTATTTAGTGCCCTTGCACTTCAAAACAAGGAAAAAATGGTGACAAATGAAGACTTTTAAAATGCATTTTATACACCTCACAAACCATGCACAGATTCTTACTACAACACACGCAATAATATATCTGAAAGAACATGCTACTTGCGCGTACTGAATATCATATTTGTGAGCATGTTTTTAGAACATTAATTTGAAAGTTTATAATTACGTTCTCTTTGAACAGAAAAATGAACGTACATGCAGTTTGGTGTAACTTGTGTGAAATGTCGACTGAAATGATTTGGTATTTTTCTTGTAAATGGTGCGTGACTGATTATATGCACAAATAAGTGACTGCTTTAATATTTGTTTCAATTATTCAATAATTGTTTAAGCAACCAAATTTTTCAATCGTGTTATTGGCCATTTGCTTCCCAGTGCTTTCCTATTGCCCCTCGGACTATTAACGCTTTCCTAGATCTCCTCAGGTCCCACCGATGGGGAATAACGCCCACGCTGAAAAACTTTACTCTAAAATAGCGGCTCTCAACCTTTTTTCTTTCACGTACCCCTTAATGAAACCTAATTTTCGAACACACTTTAATGAGACCGACTGCAGTTATAAAATACCCCTAACCTCCTACTTAAGAGTCTATAAGTAACTGGCACTCCCTCAGTAATCTCACAATATATCTTACAATGCTATTGTTTTAATACCATAAAATTAATAAACTACAAGTCAGAAAAGTTAATTTTTTTTCTTCAGCGTACGTTAATTTTGAGACTGTTTTAAAGGAATTTTTATCGATAGGACCGGAAGTTGAATTGTCCTTCTCACTTCGCTTGGGCAAGCAATTGTTTGAACGACACTTGGCGGTTTTTTAAGTAACTTCTTAAGCTCCTTTCGTTTGTAAACTAAAGCTAATTTTTCTTTCAAGAACTTTTAAAATGTCTCGAATATTTGGTCTAATTTTTTTGAATGAATGATTCCCAGATGTCTAACTTTTTGAGCATATTGAGCCAAGAACTAATTTTACCAGAAGCTCTGAAAGTAGTTATGGAACAGTTTGGTAATCCCAAGTTCAGTTTATTTAAATTTTGAAACATATCGGGTAGTTACGCAAGTTGAAGTTCCAAATCATTCTTCATTGGAAATTTTCGAGATCATCCTGAAACGGGTGGTCTCTTAAAACTTGCTAGGCTGAGATACTAAATCTAGATTATTTGCGACAAATATTTTCTGTCCTGTGTAAAGATCTCTTTCTTAATCACTATTTATCCATTTTTACATAAACAACACTTTACAGTTCAAACTTTAAAAGAACAAGAATTTAAAACAAACCTCCCCATTGGTTTACATATCACAGTAAAAAAAAAAAAAAAAAAAAAAAAAAAAAAGAGAGAGAGAGCTACGTGACTGAATTGATTATTCACTAATTGCTGAAAAAGGAATGCATATGATGCATACGGAATCGAGTAATTATGAGAAGTGTGGGGTAAATACTAAGTGTAGCTAAAACTCATCGCATTGCCTTCAAACACATTTCGAATAGTAACATTTACACCGGAATTAGTCAAATTGAGTTTTTTTCCTATTCAATGCCAAATTTAAACTTTCTGAATATTTTACTTTTTAATCAGCAATTGCTATAACACTTTGTTATTTTCCGCCGTTACCGAAGTTAAGTTTTTTACCTATCCCTGACTCTATGCCATCACGCAGGCCCAGAGATACGCATACCACAGGTGGAGAACCGCTGCTCTCGAAGCTAATGGCACGTCTTTTTGCAGAGCTTTTTATGGTAATTTATTTTAAAATACGGAACAGTGTTTCCATAGTTGTTTTAATGGCAAATGGAACATTTAACTTGCTGTCTGCGGGTTTAAATACAAGAAGTGTACATGTTTTATGGAAAAATATTTTTACTTATCGCATTTTATAAATTCATTTTCCATGTCTGTTAAATTGTGTTAAGAATCCATTTTCAATAAAGAATTTCATTAGTTAGAAAAAAATTGCATGCTTCTGTCAACAATGCTTAGAAATGCATTCATCTTTCTTTTATATGCTTACATGAATAGCAGTGCACTTTTTAAAATGATAGCGGTAGTATTTTGAGTAAGCAGTAATAAGTATGGCGCGGAATACATTTTATCTGAACAATGATTCTAAGTGCTAGATAAAGCAATGTTACATTGTTAAGTTCTTAATATTTCAAACATAGTGAGTATTCAAAATGTCATATTTATCACTCTTAGGAAACATTTATGCTAAATAATTACATAATATCGGTGTATACGAATTCAATGAAATATACTTCTAAATACTTGGGGTTTCCATCGACAGACTATATGAGTCATTACAGCAATCTAATTTAATTGTTTGAATACAGATTGCATTGAATATAGAATTTTTGTCTTCATCACAAAATGTTTCACTGTTAGTGTTCTTTTAATTGTAGAATTTAATGATGTATACTTCCAATTATTGTAAAGATCTTAATGGAGTAATTTTCAAAGCTTTTCAATTTTTAGCAACACATTTCACCTCTGAATAAGATCATAGTTTTGTACTGTATACAGTCATATGAAGCAAAAGGTGTTACAGAGCAGAATTGAAATAAAAACTTACAAACCCTAAAATATAAAAAATCTGCAAATTTATCTCGCAAATCTGTCATGGCGAATTTTATTCACATTTCAAATGCAACATCAACTTAGATGTACTTGAATTTATGAAACATTATACTTAAAAGTTTCATTTTATCTGTATTGATGAACCTTATCCGTATCTTTAAGATGAAGTTTACTTATTTGTTTTTTTTTTTGCCCCCATGCTAGTAAAAAATATTTATTTTCATATGCCTGCTTGTCTTACATCGCAGTGCACTGATAACTGGCAAAGTGTAAAGCTTTTTTTTTTTTTTTTTTTGGAATAAATTTAGTTTATCAGCTCTACGTCACTTTGATTATTTTAACGCAGCAGAATTTACTGACTCTTTTCTGTTTTGCATTAAACTTAAATCAAGTTTGTTTTTATTTAATTTAATACCAGTTGGTATCTGTTACTGCATGCAGCGTAAAAACAATGCAGAAAATAGCGATTAATGTTCTTTGAGTGAATCAATGCTCAACAAACAAAACTTGTTATCAAAACTTATATCAGAAAGACAAAGAACAACAATTAATATTTTACTAATAAATTTTTATTATGAGTAAGTATATATATTATATAAACAACAATGCATCTTCTCATTTAAACCTCAGATAAAGTAGGAAGACAAAGTCATATAAAAGCAGTATCAAAAGTTGCTACAACCCTGCTTCTTCTTTCTTTTAATTCACCTCACTTTTCAAGTTCCGTAACATCTGCAATGTAAGTAAAAGCGGAGTTCGTTATTAAGTTCACACGTAGTTCACAAAAATGATATATACACAGCTTAGCAATCCACACTGAGACAATGGTGATATGAACAATCTGACCCAGCACCGTGAAAAATGAACACACACATGGATACACAGACACACACATCATAAAATACATTAAATGAAATGCCATTTTCTATAATACTTTTTGAGGTAATACTGTTCGAAGACTTGACTGCTATTAAATGCTTTATCTTTGTTAAATTGTGTCGCCCAAAGTCTGAGAAGTTTCGTACTAAACTGCCTCATGATCTCTTACCTATGCATTTTTGTTACTGTTAATGTTCCTTATCACCAACACCGCCGCAAATTACAATATATCATTCATGAAAATAGTGTTAGAATATATAACGCTTAAATTTGCTTTAGCCATGATTAAGTTTTTAACACAAAGCTAAAACTACAGGTGAAATCACAAAAACATTTTTTTGTATTTTTTTCAACATCACAAACTAAAACTAAACGGCACTTTGAAGGTCAATGTGACCCATATTCAGAATACTTATGTATGCATAAGATTTTGTAATTCGAGCTCTTAGAAGAATCTTCATGCACATACATTTTATAAATACTGATTTCCAGTTATGGCTGATGTTTATTAAGTTCAGTACATGGGTTAATGAAAAAAAAATAACATTTATCTGATGCCTCAGAACTCCTCTTAAAAATTACAAGCGAAGCAACGTGATCTACAATCATAAATAATATTCTATGCATGGAACACACCATCTTTTTCCTCCTTCAGTTTTCTGAGGCAAACATAGTTGTTCATTTTCACATAATCAACTGCGATAACGTCACAATAAAAGTTCGAAGTACTTCTACTATCACAAAGAGATTCGTAAACTTTTTATTGTTTTATATAAAAAAATAATTTTAAGTATTTAATTTTGCCTTGAATTGCTAAGAAACAGAAAGCTCTACTCTAGAATAATATGCAAAATATAACTTTTCAGTTCTCTCAGCTAATGTGACAATGATAGTAAAAATTAAACTAGAAGTATAAATGGCTGAAGAAGTTCTTACAATGAATTACAAGATTGATGGAGAAATTCAAATTCACAAATGGCTGAAGAAGATTTTAAAATGAATTGCAAGATTAATGGACAAATTAACACTTCTACGAGTTAAGGGAAGAAAGATAGTAATATGCTAAAATAAAGTAGCGCGAATATAGTGATATATTTCATCCATAGAATGCGAATAAATTATAGATTATGGCTTGTTTTTACTAGTAGAGGTAGTTGATGGGAAATAGTTACGCTTTCCTGAAACGTTCGTGAAGTTCAAACCGTTTTTTCCTCCACAAACACAGAGTCTGGACCATAGGATACACTGGGAACAGAAGTGACCAGAGATATTGTGGTACGCACCCCTGTAGAATCGTCATGTTGTTGCTGAGGTGGGCTGCCACCGCTGAAGCTGAGCGCTCGAGGCCTTCTGCACAGTAGTACTGTCTTGTAAGCTTGCCGGTACTGTTTGTTTGTTATGCCATAAATCACTGGATTGATACAAGCGCTCAAGTAGATCAGTAGGTAACCAACAATATGTAACTCTGGACGCTGTACATGCTGGTCAGAAACCTAAAATCATTGAAAAAAAGAAGAAAAGATAAATTTTTGGATTAAATGTTGTTGCACTCCAAAGAGCACAACTTCTCAAACAACATGGTTCGCGTCATTTATTTCTCATGTCAAGTTTTTAAGAGGCGCGATAGCGTTGAGTCGTCTTACTCTAATGGATACAACCATGGATTAGTTTCTAAACAAACAAACAAAAAAAAAAAAAAAAAAAAAAAAAAACACCCTGTTTAATTCAAGCATAGCATTGGATTATTTTCGTGCTGTATTGCTCGAGTTGGTAAGAGTTTGACATCTACTTAAGTATGTTAAAACAGGCTGATTATTGTCACAATATGATAAATGGAAACAAATACTTTATGAGGAAGCATAGTGATAGCTTAATTTGGGATTTAGTTCTTATATAGGCTTTTAGAAGGAGAAATATTCCCAGATTAACATGAAAAGCGATTGCTTATATTTCGCCTTTCCATGTTGTAATGAGAAAATAAATATATATTGAAGGGCCTTATTTATTGGTTCGTTTCATTTATATGAAATCATTAAGACTTTAATAGTATTTTAGTTGGATGAGAACATGAGTACTTTTTTCTGAAGAAAGGAAAATATTATGCTCCCGTCTTTCTTCTCCCTTTTACTCACAAAACCTGTTTATCTCCAGGTGTAATTTTCTTCAGTTTTCTAATAGAATGTGCACAATTTGTGAGTGAATCTGCAGGTGGCTGCCAAATAAAATGGTTAACTTGTGAGAGCAAAAGAAAGATGGTGGCAATAAATTAACGCTTTTATACAACTCCTCGGCTGTAAGATGTAATCAACGTACCAAGAGCGAATAACACACACAGCTCTCACTATAAATGTGTTTTATTAGCATTTTAATTGGAAAACTTTAAATTCAGCAGGGAAATTCCGATTTCTGTTCTGGAAAAGAATTAAATTAGGTCGCTAAATTCAAACGTATTTACTACATATGGTTGGTTTCATTTGATTTTGATGAAATAGCATTGTAGAAAATTTCTTGCTTTAATGATAAGTAATTCTTATAGAGTAATTATTATAATTTCTTATTTTCATAAAAGGTTGCTTTTTTGCCTTTTTGATTTCGTATTTTCTATATGTTTACAGCAAATTTAAATTGTTTTAATTGAAAACAGATTTAAAATGATGTTAATTAAAAACAAATTTAAAATGATGTTAGTTAAAATGAAAACTTAAATATATTTTTCAATTTCTTTAAATTAGCCATAGCTAAATGCAGTAAAACTGTCATTTTCAATTGCAAATTAAAGTGATCACACGATGGCGCAGGACAGCCCCACATCTCAATGAATTGTTGCGGCTTTAAGATATGATCTGAATGATGTTAAGCCTTATGTATACATTTCCGGATTTTGTAACTACAATTGACATCAATTTCGTTAGTGTAGTTCTATGCGACTATGAAGATATTTTTGTGGAATCAGAAATATATTCAAAAATTAGATAATCGCGCCTTCCAGATATAAGTTTCCGAAAGCTTGAAAGGTCCGCAAAAAAGTATCGTTTACAAAAATACTTCTCGATTTCTATTGCAGCTGCATGAAAAATGGATAATGAAATTAAATTGCTAAAAAAAATTTAAAGGAATAAACTTTTGAAAGCAATGTAGAATCCATAGGTGGAAGATAAATTCTCTGATAACACATTAATCAATGAATACTGTATTTAGAATGATTTTAAATACCTGAAAAATTAAACAGTGCTCTCTTAGAACTGAAATTGAGTATAGAAATGATACTGAGCGAAATGGAGAGAGATTTTTCCCATGATCAGAACAATCGTGCTTCTTTCAAATTTGTAACATTAATTACTAAATTCCACTTATTGGGAACAGTTATAGAAATAACAACGTGTTATTTCGATAATGAATGCAGTGAAACATCTGATTGGCAAGCACCTCTAAAAGTTGACGTATTTCTGAAAACATAAATATATTCTGGCATTCAATATCACCGAAAACGAAATATTTAAATAATTAATCCACCTTCATTTAATCTTTACTTAACCTTATTTATTTATTATTTAATTTCTTTTAATCGTATCTCCAAATCTCAAAATGTATTTACTACTTTAAAGTTGGAATTATTCTCTACTGTTTAATTCTTCTATTCTCATTCCAATGCAATTCATACGATAGTGAGTTTTACGCGTTTGCTTATTTGATAGATTAGAGAACCGGGGGCTTGCTGCTTTTCTACAAGTTGGTGAGTTTTTTTTCCCTTTGCTATTAAATATTAAGTAGTAGTTCGCGAAACTGAAAGGAACCATGTACTAGGATTGAATTTTAAACTTGTGAATTATAAAAAATTAGAAATTCTGTTACCCATTATTCATTACGAATGTAAATTTTTGTTCATTAGTTATGTACTTCAAATTTAAGTCAGCAATACATTTTTAGTTAATTTTATTTCTGTTACTTTCACCTAGTGCTCTGATATTTTAACAAATGACGGAACGAAAATCTTTTAGGCTAGAAGGTTAGATTAGTTTTAAAGTAAATTGACTTTAACCTTATTCATGTAAACACTAAATACGTTCTAAATCTGTGACAGAATACATTCATACGTCTGTCAGATTAAAAACACAGGGAAAATTAGAATGAAATAATCATAACGCTTAAGTGTCGGAGAAAAAACATCTAGAATACCTCACTGGAAGGTAAAAGTTCGATGCCCAATAACAATAATACAATATTAGCCTTGCTCTTAAAGCATTACTGTATTTCCTAATATTTTGATCCATTACTAATAATTTTAATTCAAGGTAAGGTAATTGTTGGAAATGGGAATTGTCATGGAGAAACTGTATACAATATTACTGTCACCATGAAGTTAAACTTTAGAGACTTTCAAACCTCTTGAAATATTTGAAATAAGATTTTACATAATATGATATCCTGTGTGATTCTTTTACGGCGTTTAATAATTTATTTATTCACAGTCATAAAGGTACTTTTTGGACAGACTGTAGTATTTTTCAAATTAGGGATTTCTAGATTGAAGAATTACCTGAAATTTCTCTGAGCCTTCACCAGGAATTCAGCCCAGATCTTCAGATTACCAAAGAGAAATACTGATTACTATTAAAAAAAAAAATAAGAGGGAATGTTTTTGTCTCTTAACATTTTTTCTCACAAGAGCGACTAGGCTTCTGACGCATTATCGTTCACTACTTCCAGATCACATCTAGTCTATGACGAAGGGCCGTTTATCAATTTTGAATTACAAAAATCGTGTGACAGCAGAAGTTTTGGTGTGGTGATTAGAGGACTTAGAAAATTCACTGTGCTTTAGTCAGAAATCACATCTGAAAGAATTAATGTGCTATCGTCAGGTATTGAACCTAAATCTTTCATGGATTCAGATTACCGGGTTGGCACACAGAAACAGTCCTGTAATCTGAGTACATACAAGAAGTAAATACATTGCAGTAAAACGATCAAAGTTTGTTATTTGAAGAACAGGGCAGTTTTAGTGGAGAATTTTTTAACAGGATTTATACAAGATAATTCGTTGCTTCGTATACGCCTTGAACGCAGTTGGGTCAAGACGGTTCCATACAGACAGCCATTTAAGTAGCCGGGATAAAACTACTACTGTTCAAGAGGTTTTATTGCTTCGGCCACTGATGGATCGATAATTTGTAAAGCCAAGCTTTTCAGTTAGTATTTCAGCCTACCTTTGTGTCTATAATATTGATATTTGCATAAATTAAAACTTGTAAAATCGGAATAAATTTATATTATTTTTTGAATAAATATAGTAATGGCCAAAACTGTAGAAACCTTAATGAAGATACATGCTTTAAAATTTGAATGCATAGCTTTGTTAGTTTTCAAGAGAATCCTAAGAAGTTGTGAGTCACTACAAAGATAATTTTATACAAGTTATAATGCAGTTGATTCTTGTGAATTATTTCTATTATACTAATAGTTATAGCTAAATTAAAACAAGGAAACTCAGCTATTCTAATATAAAGAAAGTGGATATTTTAAGCTCAAAACTGTAAGCCAATCATTTGCTGCAACGCCACAAAATGGATTCCGTCAGGTATTGGGAGAAGTGAGCTCACGTCTTTCGCTGCTACAAATAATTGTAAAACATCTTATTTACTTGTTTAATCATCAGTTAATTGATCAGCACATTTTAGTGTTTTTTTCAACTGCTATTTCTTTAGAGAAGGTGTGTAGTTTGTTTAGAATGATAAAGAAATTAAAAAGAGTTCGCATGAATACAGACGCAAAACTGTTTTGTTATTTGACATTTTTATGACATTTGGTATGTATGACAAAATTACTGGAAATATAATTAAAGAAAGAGTTTCTGAGACATGGAGTAGATAGTGAAACACTCACTTTATTGAAAATTAAACTAATAATGGTAGAAAATCCACAACAGCATGCTACAGAAGAATTAAAAATTGTGTTTGAGTGGCAGAAGACAATGTTTTATATGAAAGCGGTGTAAACATAAATGCCAATACTGTACGATTCCTATCAGTTTAAATGCCAAAATTTCAAGGAAAAACAATTCTTTCTCAAGATAGGTTAAGTTATTCGAATGTGGCAAAGCCACGATAGCTATCTGCCCAAGAGAAGGGATGTTTTCATAGAAGATTTTCTAAGGGAAACTGGCTCGTACTCACGTTATACACAGTAAAAACTGCGAAAACCAACCATGCAGGCAGCCAGTTTTCCTGGGATCGAACCCAAGCCAGGTCGAAGTGCCAGTATTCAGCGGTTTTAAATTTCGCAGCAATTGATGGGGCCCCAAACAAAGCCAGGATAGACTAGAATGACTAAAGGCATTAAAAAATGGTCTTTAGAACAATGGTACAGAATACTTATATATTATAGTGATGGAATAAAATGTGTTTGAATAAGAGAAATTATGCTTTCCTGATTGCATAACACCTACTGTGAAGCATCTAGTTAGTGTTACGCTGTGAGGATGTACTACAGAAAA